GAACCATGGCTATGCTATCGCTCCTAGCTTAGACCCCCAAAATGGTGAATCGGGCCAAAATCCTTTCCACGCCCACCCCCGTGACATCACGCTCCGAAGCCCTATTCTGTTTTCCTTCTCTCAACCCAACCAATCACAGCAGATGGCCCCGCCCCTCCCTGAGCCTGGTTCTGGCGGAGGTTTCTTCCTGTTAAAAGGGAGTTTTTCCTTCCCACTGTTGCCAAAGTGCTTGCTCATTCAGATTCAGATTCAGAAGACTTTATTTATCCCCGAGGGGCAATTGAGATACTGACCTTGCCGACCGTACATACAATACACAAACATCATATTGGGGAGACAGGTCAGGCTACGTAACTGGCCGGTCAGCCGCACGAGCAGCGACCCAGAACCGAACAATTGAAAATACAAAACATCAGGAAAGACAATGAGGAAAAAAAGAACTCCCCCCAGACTGCGCTCCAACAGGGAGATCAGTTTGAGAACAGAAAAAAACCCACCGCTGCGCATAGGGGTTCATATGATTGTTGGGCTTTTATCTACTGTACAATATAAAGCGCCTTGAGGCGACTGTTGTTGTGATTTGGCGCTATATCAATAAAATTTAATTGGATGTACCAAAGAACTGCTGAAGTACTGTTTGTATTTTTTTAATGAGATTTGGGTTTTATTCCCCTGTTTGTTTGTTTGCTTGTTTTAAACACTGAGCTCCTCATTTTCTTCCTCTGTGGTCAGAATAAATGTTAACGTTTAGCTTAAGATAAACATGATGTTCATCTGCTGCTGACCTTTGACCTCAGCCGTTTGTGAGAGAGGAGGCGGGAACAGGGAGTGGAGTGTTCTCCTCACCAGTGAATGGGAGAGTGTGGGGCGGGATTTAGAAACAGCAGTTCAATAGGGAATGCCAGGGGGCGGAGCCTGAGACGTCCATTTTCACACAGAGTAGTGGTGAGCCTACACAGAACGACTGCATACAGCATTTCTGCAATATTACTACACTAATCCTAAAATAATTTTACTGTGGCATATTTGAAGTACAGTCTGTAGTACTGGTACCTCTTCTATATGCTGTTCCTTCTCTTCCTTTTTCTTCTGTGGTTGCAGATGGCCTCATCGGCGCCTCCTGGCCTCTCTCTGGTCTCCGTCTTGTCTCTGTTAGCATGCAGTGGCCAGCTGTTGGCAGCTGTCCTGCTAACACGCAGGTATTGTGGGCGGAGCTCTACACAGAACTGGTGGATCTTGCTGTGGCTCTTTTATGATGTCATTGTCCATCTGACGCTGGTAGGCGGTGCTTTATTCTTAGTTATTCCCATCTTCATCATGGTGACAAAAAACGTTATTCAAGTTTCAGCTCATCTTCAAAATTAGACTTATTTCATAAACACTTAGTTTTTGTTTATTCTTGTTTATTTTTTATTCTAAACCTAAAGGTTTTTAGGAAGATCCATTTGTTTCCATGTCTCTGATTTTTGTTTTTTTAGGAAGGTCCGTTTGTTTACATGTCTCTGGTTGGGACAGTGGAGGCTTCTGAAGGGCCACTGGCTGAGCTCTGTGAGTATTTTGTAAATACACTGCAGTATTTCCAGGCAGTGTTAGTTTGATCTGAAGTCCAGTATGAGAACAAAGTAATGAAGTACTTTTACTCACAGATACTGTAAAAACACACTATTTGGTACGTCATTTGGGATGTTTGACTTCTTCTCACCTGTCTTACCTGTAGGGAAGGAGTACGGGAAAGCCGACAGTCGCTGGCTGGTTTCTGATCCGACGATCGTCTCCATCGAGATCCTGACCGTCATCCTCGACTCGCTGCTAGCTCTCCTGCTTATACACGCAGTACTGAAGGACAAGTACTACAGGTAACACTTCCTGTACTGCAGTTACTGTGTTGCTGGTACTGCTTGGTACTGATGTTAATGGTGAACCAATCTGTCAGACACTTCCTGCAGATCGCTCTGAGTGTGTGCGAGCTATACGGCGGCTGGATGACCTTCTGTCCCGATTGGCTGATGGGCAGCCCTCACCTGAACACATCCTCCTTGCTCTACCTGTGGGTCTACCTGGTCTTATTTAATGGAGTCTGGGTCCTGGTCCCAGTCCTGCTGCTGCTCCAGTCCTGGTTCAGCCTAAGGAGTCTGCACGTGCTCAGAGCGGACCAAAGCAAAGCAGCTAAAAGACAGTGATGTCAGTGATATGGTTTAAACTGATCGATGGGGCCGAGTCCGAGGATCATTTAAATATTCATCTGATGTCAGAATCAATCACCACGATCAATCGTTTGAAAAATAAACATTTTATTATAGATACAGTTTCAGTGGCTTAAATTATTGCTTTGGAACATCTAACCACATTCAATTCAATTCAATTCAATTTTATTTATATAGCGCCAAATCACAACATAAGTCGCCTCAAGGCGCTTCGTAGATACAGAGAAAAACCCAACAATCATATGACCCCCTATGAGCAAGCACTTTGGCAACAGTGGGAAGGAAAAACTCCCTTTTAACAGGAAG